GGCCCCACCAGGCAGGGTGTGGGGAGGAGCTTCCAGCATCTTCCCCCGGGAACCCCTCGCTGCAACCGTGGTCCCTTGGGACAGGGGTGCCCTGCAGTGCCCTCCCTGCCCGCAGAGCTTGGAAGGTGGCACGCAACTTGTCAGATGGAGCACAGAGCCCTCCCAGCCAGCTGCGAAGGTGGGGCTGTGGGGTCGGGGCTGCCCGGGCCAGGAAGGGAGGCGCCGTGCCCTCCGTAGGGCAGTTGGCTACTCAAGACCCCTGGTCCCAGCCAGACTTCACGATCGTGCTTGCTGGGCATGGTGGGCGCCCGGTCCCCAGTCCTGGCCACGTCCTTGGCCCCGAAGAGCCGCCACATCCTCATCTGCAGAAGGGTAGCGCTGCCCTACTCCCTCCCAGGGCCACGGAGCGGTTGTGCGAGGCCCCCCGGGAGGGGCTCCGTCCCGAGAGGGAGCAGGTTCTAACAAGCGGGGTGCCACCTCCAGGCTCTTGGACCCCAAATGTGACTGACGGAGCCAGATGAGGGCCGGGCTGCCCAGCACTGTCACTGCCTGGACCCGGCCAGTGTCACAAGGTGCCAGACACCCCGAGGTCTCCTTCGCTCCTCGTATGCCACCTGTAGGACCATGTTGTTCCCAGGGCCTGGCAACAGGGTGGCCGGGGGGGGGGGGGCGGCAGCGGACTCAGGTCAGAGGTGGTGCGGGCCCAGGGTGCTCAGGAGAGCCCGGCACGGGGCCAGTGCAGCTGACTTGGGGTCACTCCTTGTGGCCTTGGCCACGTCTCTCCAGGGCCTGGGGGCCTGGGTCTCCCAGCGGCGGGGTGAGAGCAAGGCCAGCAGGGGACACCCCCCACCATCCTGGGTTCCAGGGAGACCTGGGGTCAGGGTGTGCTGCCAGGAGAGGGGTGAGGTGGTGGCTCAGACCCAGATTTGAGGCCTGGGAGGTGGGAGAGGGCACCTCTGCTGGGCACCCCGGGGTGATTCCCCAGATGCCCCTCTGCAGACTCTGCTTCCCAGGGGTCTTACAAAAACATGGTGTCTGGGCAGCAGCCCCAGGAATTCCAAGTCCCTCAGCCAGGGCCTCTGTCCCCATCTGGATGGGGGTCCTGGGAAAGCTGGGGTGTTTCTCTAAGACTTTCCAGGTCCTGGCCACCCCCAGCCCACTAGGAGCTCACCTGTGGGCAGCAGGTGTTCCTGCAGGAAGGAGTCAGAGGCTGACCCCAGCAAGGCCACACTCTCAGCTCTGGGGCCTGTTTGGTGCCTGCAGGCCTGTCGTCCCGTTGGCACAAGCCCCACAGCCCGTTCAGAGGCGCCCAGAGCCGCAGACTTCGGTGAGGGGACCGGGCACGGGGAGGTGAACTTGTTCACGGGGCAAACGCAGGAGCCTCCCCCAGCAAGCTGGCAAAGCACCGGGGAGGGATCGCGTCTCTGTCCCTGGCCCGTACATGTGTGCGGGACACACGCAGACAAAACGAAAGGGGTATCAAAGGTGCTGAAGGAACGTCACCGTTTTCCTCGTGACTCGAATAATAGTGGGGCTCTTCGATTCCCACTGCACAGGTGAAGTGCAGACTCAGTCTCTTCCTCCTCCTTTTTTTTTTAAATGACTCCGAAGTTCATTTGCAAGGAACAGTGAACAAAGACAGCCAAGGCCCCCAGGGCCCCCGTCCTGATAGCACACCCATGTGCACCTCCCGCCCCATACGGCGGCATTCGACAGAAGTAGGCAATGAAGACTCCCATCCTCCTCGCTCACTAATCGCTGGAGAAAGCCCAGAGCCGAGCCGGGAGCGGCCCCGCGAGGGAGGCCCGTGCGGGGAGGAAGTGAGCCTCCCGCCCCAGTCCAGCCTTCGGATGACAACTGCACTCCCGCCGACCCCACAGCACCCACTAAGGACAGATCCCGAGGCAGAACCACCTGCGAAAGTGCTCCCTGAGTCAGGAAACTGCCCGAGATCACAAGTGTTGTTTGAAGACACTAGACTTGGGGCTCACTTGTTACGCAGCGACAGATAACCAATACAGCACACGGGATGCTTGAAGTAGAAGAGTCACAGAGAGGCATTTCAGAAAGGGAGACGTCAGAATCGTAGAGCAGAAGTCCAGCAAGCACGGTGGTTCCGACCCCCAAAATACGTGTTGCTCCGACCAACACACCAGACCCCGGAAAGCTGAGATGCTTCACACAGAAACCACTGCCCTCAGAGAGGTGCCACCGCGAATCCATGGTGGAAAGAAGGAATTTCAGTAACATTCCCGATAGTGCTGGCAAACTATTTGGCGGGGGTGGGGTGGGGTGGGTATATGACCTCATGGCAGCCCCTGCCCAAAATAAGTCCCGGATGGAATAAGAGATATTGTAAGCAGACGACGGCGAGGGGGTGGGCAGGTCAGGTGTGCTGGACGGCCTCCCAGCCCGACGGTGCCAGGATGGGTGCAGGGGACTGTGTTCCGTCCTGCCAGGGGAGCTACCCCCGTCCTCTGTGCTAGGCCACCCTGTGGTAGGTGCATCGAGCTGTAAGGACGAGCGCACACTTGGACTTGGTGACTTCACCCTCTGAATCTGTGCCGGGGAAAGAATCACAGAGGCGGCCCCAGATTATTTATCATCGTCCCAAATGACACAACCCGAATGTCCATTAATAGAAGTGACGGGATGTCCCTTCGAATTCTTAAGGTGTGATACATCCCCAGTATGATGAAATTTAAGATCGTATTCTCAACAACCGATCGCGTCAGAAACGCTGGAGATGCACCATAGAACGATAAAATAAGACGCACCCGCGCACCCGCAGCCGCCCCAGCATGGACACGGGTGAGACTGTTAACGGTGATTGTCTTTCTCTGGTCGAAGTGTTCGGCTTCATCTTTTCCCGTGTTTTCCAAATGCTCCACAGTGAACATGTCATTTTTATCATCATAAAAAGAGACAAACAGCGTATTTTTATTTATTTATTTTTAAGATTTTATTTATTTGTTCATGAGAGAGAGAGAGAGAGAGAGAGAGAGGCAGAGACACAGGCAGAGGGAGAAGCAGGCTCCCTGCGGGGAGCCCGATGTAGGACTCGATCCCGGGACCCCAGATCACACGCTGAGCCAAAGGCAGATGCTCTACCGCTGAGCCACCCAGGCGTCCCTAAGCAGCGTATTTTTAAAAACTGCACCACTCGTTAGCTATCTGTGGATAAAGATGTGTTTTGAGCGCCTGGTTTTGAGTTTCCCAAACTGACGAATCATGGGAGGCGCTAGGCCTCTCCCGCGTCCCTGTCAGCAGAGTACCCTGTCCTCTCGCCTCCCGCCTGCGCTGGGTACACATTAGCGCTTCGTGTTCTGGCTACAAGCACAGGGGCGGGGCGGGGCGGGGCGGGAATGACGACTCTGGTCCCCCCAGGGCCTCCCCACCGTGGTCCTGGACGAGTGGGAGCTGGAGACGTGAGGCTGATGCTGGAGGCTGGGAGATCCTGGGACTATCTGAAACGCGGGCGGCGGTGCTGGGCCCGGACTGGGCCGGGCTGAACTGGGCTGAGCTAGGATGAACGGGGATGAAGTGGGCTGAGCTAAGATGAACGGGGATGAACTGGGCTGAAGAGTTGGGCTGGGCTGAACTAGGCTGGGCTGAACTGGACTGAACTAGACTGAACTGGGCTGAGCTACGATGAAGTGGCCTGAGCTAGGATGAACTGGGCTGAACTGGGCTGAGCTAAGATGAACGGGGATGAACTGGGCTGAACTGGGCTGAGTTGGGCTGGGCTGGACTAGGCTGGGCTGAACTGGACTGAACTAGACTGAACTGGGCTAAGCTAGGATGAACTGGGACTGGCTGAGCTAGGGTGAACTGGGCAGGCTGGAAAGGGTTGGGGTGGCTGTGACTCAGCGGGACAGGCCGGGGAGGGCGCGTGAGCGAGCAGAAACGGAAGCACCTTGCGAACTGGTGACTGATTAGCTAGTCGGCCGCGGCGGTGATCCGTGTGAGACCGAGCTGTAACCGTCCTGTGCCCGTGGTGAGAACAGGGACCGAACCTCCCCGCTCACACCCATCTCCTCAGGGCCACGCTGGCAGGACGGGGCCACTGTCGTGCTACCCTAATGCCCTGGGGAAATCAGCTAACTTCGCCAGGTGGGGGGCCGTCTCCCCGGGAGCCGCCGGGGTGTCTCTGTGCTGGGGCAGTGTGGGGCCGATCCCCAGGGACCACCGAGGCCTCCGCCCGGCTCGGCCTCCCTGAGCCTCCACATCCCAGCACCCTGGCCTCCCCGGGCTGCGGGCTCCTGTGCACCCACAGGCCCCTGGCCGGGAAGCTGCGCCCTGACCGTTGCATAGGGCCTTGGGTGCCACCGTGGCCGAGCGCCAGGTGGGACGGCTTCCCCTGTGGCCGCAGGGAGCGAGGCTGCAGGCCAGCGCGGCCGTATTTTTAGATGACCCCATTTCTTTGCCGCCTTTGGCTCCCATGACTAATGGTGACGCCAGGGCTGCCCCAAGGCCAAAGCCGCGGTGTGACCCGGAGCCTCCGGATCCAGGGTCCCCGTCAGCAGCCTGCTGAAGCCCTCAGGGACGCCTCCTCCGTACCTCCCTGGGCGCCACTTTAACCACCAAAGATGTCCCCACCGCCCCCAGGGACCCCGAGTTTCGAAAGCCTTTGCTCACCAACCTGCATTTCCCCGCGAGAGTCACCTTTCCCCGGTTGGCAGGTGAACGAAAGGCCACTTGGGTACCTGTCAAGAACCCTTAGAGAAGCCAGGACACCAGGCCCTGAGCTGGGCCTCCACGTGCCCCCGAGCCTCCAGCTCAGGCTCTACAGCCCCCCCCCAATGCCTCCCGGTGTCCGCCCTGGTCCCTGGGGGCCGGAGGCCTCGGCCTCCCTGACGGGGCCAGTGTGGGCCTTCAGAGCGGCCGCCTGGGAGGAGCCGCACCTCCGCCCCCGCAGCCCCTCCCTCCCAGTGCAGACGGTGCTAAAAATACCCTCTGCCCGTGCCCACGTGGGGCCCAGCCCAGCCCAGGCCAGCCCAGCAGGCCCTCCGTGGCCTGAGTTCTCTCTCAGAGGTCCAGGGGCCAACGGAGAGGTAGGGTCCCAGGGGCTGGGGGGGGGGGTTGGGCACCGGGGAACGGGAGGTGGGAATTGGGGCAGGAGCAGCGGGGGGGGGGGGGGGGGGGGTTACGGCGGGATAGCCGCGGGCTGCAGAGATCACAGCTGGGGACACAGCCCCCGCCCTGGGCAAGCCGGGCTCAGCTGGCACAGTCCCGCCGGTGTCCTGGCCCGAGAGGTGGGCGCGGGGAGGCCGGGCCACCCCTCCAGCCGCACCAGGACCCCAGCGTCCAGTCGGTGGCCGCGGCTGGCTCCAGGCTGCTTGTGTCCCGTCTGCTCAGGCCCTGCTCACTCCCGGCCTGGGCCAGAACCAGGCCGAGGCTCAGACCCTCCAGAAGCCCCCGCCCCATCCGTACTGGGACCGCAGGGGACAGGTGTCAGCAGGCACGGCCGAGGCCCTGCGGGCAGCTGGGGGGCACTCTGCCCAGGGGGCCCCGAGGCTCTAGCAGCTGGCACAGGGGGCGCCAGGAATGTGACGCCGCGGGCGCGGTGGCCGGGGGCTCATCTATCGGCGGCCTCCCCGGGAGGGGGTCAGGCCCGGGGCCCCGACCTGCCCTGTCCTGGCTGGGCTCCTGGGGCCCGTCCCGCTCTGGCGGGGCGCCGGGAGGGGAGGGGAAGGGGCCCGGCCCCCACCCCCGCCTCGGCCCCAGGCTCGGCAGGGCCCTCCCTGCCCCTTGGCACCCACAGCTCCACTTCCCGGGGCTTTCTTACTTAGACCACACTGATTCCGCCGAGTGTCTCGCTCCCCAGAGGCCCCGCTGGCCCCTCTTCCCGTTGATGGCCCCGGAAGGCGCCCCCTGGTGGACAGACCATTTCCCGGGGGTGCAGCCTTTTTGCAGTTGTAAGAACGGGGGTGAAATTTGGGGCAGCTTTCTTGGGGTGAAACGTCAGGAGTACAGAAACGAAGGTGCACGTGATCAAATAAGCCAGCAGTGGATTTGCTGAGTCGGATGATACAGACACTGATTCAAAATCACTCTCCAGAAAGTTCCCCTTCATTGCAACTGCCTTTACCAACCTGCACCCTGTAACCTGGGGGTTCAGTGCGTGGACCCCGAGCCTGGCTCCCCCACTCCCTCGCTGCGTGACCTTGGACTAGTGACTTGAGCCTTTTGTGCTCGTGTTTCCCACCTTTACGTGGACCCTAGGAGCCCCCGCCTGTGGGGTTGTCGTGCAGGCCCGGTGGGGAGAGCACATGTCCCCCTTGAGACGTGGGGAGCGCTGTGACCACAGGGCCCCCTCCCCCGCCAGCCTCTGGATCTGCAGTTGAGGAAACCGGGACCAAGGTCACCCGGCAAGGTCACGGCAGTCCCAGGCTCCATGTAACTGTGGGGGGTGAGGATCGGTGGGGCAGGAAAGCTTTCAAAGGCCTTCATCACCCTCCCCAGCAGGGTCAGATCTGGGAGCAGAGGAAGCCACTTGGAGGCGGGGGCCCACAGGGATCCCCATGCTCCGGGGGTTTGTCCTGCGTCACCCAGAGTCCTGGCGGGGTCCAGCTGGCCTCGTCCCACCCTGGTTGCCCGGCCAGGGGAAGGTCTCTGGCCCTCTCTGAGCCTCAACGTTCTCCTGTAAGACGGGACCAACACCGAGCCAACGCACCGGCCCAGGGGCGGGGGAGGTGAGGTGCCGGCGGGGCGCTTCCACATCCACGATGCTCAGCCCGTGGTGGCTGAAGATGGATACGGCCAGACGGATGGGCGACTCGGGCTGATGAGCCACGTGCTGCGCCGCTGACCCTCCCTCCTGTCTCCGCAGGACCAGGGTGCAGGTGGGTGGCAGGGCCCCACGCCGGCGGCGGCCGCAGCCATGGTGCGCACCGTGGACGACCTGGACTTCCACCTGCCCTCGCACGCCCAGGACATGCTGGACGGCCTGCAGCGGCTGCGCTCTCAGCCCAAGCTGGCCGACGTCACGCTGCTGGTGGGTGGCCGCGAGCTGCCCTGCCACCGCGGCCTCCTGGCGCTGAGCAGCCCCTACTTCCACGCCATGTTCGCGGGCGACTTTGCCGAGAGTTTCTCGGCGCGCGTGGAGCTGCGGGACGTGGAGCCGGCCGTGGTGGGGCAGCTGGTGGACTTCGTGTACACGGGCCGGCTGACCATCACGCAGGGCAACGTGGAGGCCCTGACGCGCACGGCCGCACGCCTCCACTTCCCGGCCGTGCAGAAGGTCTGCGGCCGCTACCTGCAGCAGCAGCTGGACGCCACCAACTGCCTGGGCATCTGCGAGTTCGGGGAGCAGCAGGGCCTGCTGGGTGTGGCTGCCAAGGCCTGGGCCTTCCTGCGGGAGAACTTTGAGGCCGTGGCACAGGAGGACGAGTTCCTGGAGCTGCCCCAGGACCGGCTGGCCACCTGCCTGGCCAGCGAGCTGCTGCAGGTGCAGCCGGAGCAGAGCCGGCTGGAGGCCCTGCTGCGCTGGGTGCGCCACGACCCCCGGGGCCGGGCCGCCCACCTCCCCGAGCTGCTCAGCCTGGTGCGCCTGGAAGCCGTGCCCAGGGCCTGTGTGCAGCAGCTGCTGGCCACGGAGCCGCTGATCCAGGAGTCAGAGGCGTGCCGGGCGGCCCTGTCCCAGGGCCACGATGAGGTGAGCGAGGGGCACGGAGGGGAGCCCTGGAGGCCCCACCCTGCACGGGGATGGAGAGGACAGAGCGCATGGCCCCAAAGGGGCCCTGAGCCTTGCAACTCTACCTGCCTCGGGCTGATTACCTGAGAGGGCATCGCGATTCACCCCCTGTGCTCCCGTGTGTCCCACACCCTGGACGTGGGAGGAAGGGGAACCCAGGAGCGCTTGTTTCCACCCCGGGTCAGAGCCCACAGCTCGCTGGGGACAAACCTGAGAGCGGACCGAGGGCAGCATGAGAAAGGCCAGAGCTGGGCTGGGGGCATCCCGGGAGGGGTGGCCAGTCTGGGAGGGCTCTCCAGAGGAGGCGGCTTCTCAGCCTGGCCCCAGAGGAGGAATAGGAGCTTGGCAGGAGGGAAAACCATCCAGGAAGATGGCACAGCTTGTGCACAGGTGAAGAGGCACAGATGGGCATGGCAGCGGGCCACCACCTGCCCCTTAGGAAGCTGCTTGAACGTTCATGGGGTGCAATTTCCTATCTGCTGGCGGCGAGCCTGGCAGGCAGGGCAGCTCTGGACACGCTGGATGTGACCGAGCATGACAGAGCCAATGAATCCGTCTGTGGCTGGGCAGCCGGCTCGGGGCCTTGCTCTGGAGGAGTCCTCAGGGGTCAAGTCTGCGGACAAAGCTGTGGCTCAGGCCAGGCTCGGGGTGGGTGGCGGCAAAGTACTACCGGGTGCTGCTGTCAGGCGTCACGGGGCACAGCGGGCTGGCCTGGGGCTGGCGCCAGCTTGGGGCCCTATCCCCGCGAGGCGGACCCCTTGGAGTTGTGGCCATGGGAGGTCCAACCTTGTACAGGGGGGAACAGGCACGTGGGGGAGCCCTGGGGTCCCGGGAGCTCGGGGCAGTGGCTCCTTACCAACCCGGTGGGAACCCTCCGGCATGTCCCGCCCGGCCGGGGTCATCCTAGCTCAGCAGCCGCATGCTGGCCCCGGGGAGGCACCGGGGGCGGAGTCGGGTTGGCTCCCGAGTGGGTGCAGGAACGGCTCTGGCAGGCCTGCGGGGGCTGCTGGGAGGGAGTGGCCCTCAGGTTCAGGGCACACGTGCACCTGCTGCGCCATCTCCCCCGGTCCTGAGATTTTGCCACCATCCCCGGCCCCACGGTGCTCACACACATGTGCTCACACACACACGGGCACAGACACTCCCACCGCCCCACGCGTGTGCACCAACACAGCTGCACCCCAGAAGTCCTGCCTTAGAAAATGCCCCCGAGGCCTGGGAGCACCGAAGGCCCCTCGCGGGGGGATGCAGTCACCTGCGCCCTAACCCCGCCTTCCTGCCCCCGCCCCCCAGGCGCTGCTGGCCCTCCCGCAGAAGCTGGACGAGGTCCTGGTGGTGGTGGGCGGGCGGGCGCTGGAGGAGGACGAGGAGGGTGCCGAGGAGCCCACCCTTCACCCCAGGAACTTCGCCTTCTACAACACCAAGGCCAGTGAGTACCCCTCACGCTGTCCCCGCGGCCCCACGTGAGCCACCCCTGTCCCCTGTGCAGGGGGAGGGAGTGACGGGCACAGAGAGCAGGCCGTCACGGGGAGGGGAGGCGGGCAGCGGGGCTCTGTGGGCCCCTCACCCTCCGGCCAAGGCCCCAGTTTCGGCCTCCTGGGCCCTGGAGGGTCTGCTGCCCAAAGCGCCCTGGGTGCCCGGGAACCCTGATCCCAGAGACAACAGGCAGCGGGGCTGCAGTTGGCCGCAGGGTAGGAGCCCGGGCACGAGGTCAGCTCCAACAGCCCCCAGCCGCGGCCTTCCAGCAGGTCATCCTCGCTGTGGAATGGGCTCCTCGCGTGGCTGGAATGAGGACCCCACGGGCACTGGGGTCCCACCCCAGGGTCACCCGGGTAAGGGGGGGTAGGAGGGTAGTGGAGTCTCTGGAGGGGCCACGTCAGCCCTTGGCAGCTCCTCCAGGAGCTCTGATGAGCCTCCGCTGGTGCCCCGGGGCCACCGGGCCGGTCACCAGCCACCCCCGTGGCGTCAGCGGCTGGCGGGTTCCAGGACGCGTGAGGCCGGCTGTCCCAGGCCAGGGGCTGACGAGGGGATTTGGGCGCTGACGTCAGGAGATGAGCTCCGCTGGCTCGACCCGGGAGCAGCTGTCCCTCCAAGCCCGAGGGGAGGACGGCAGGGGGCACACTGACAGGCAAAGGCCTGGTGACGGCCGGGCAGGCCTCACCCTGGGGTGACACACACATGAGTCAGGGGGACATGCAGTCCCTGCCCAGAGGGCAGGTGCCCAGCAAGGCCCGGAGATCTGCACGTCCTAAGACGGTTGTAAACAGTCCACGGCCGCTTCCCAGGGGACCGCCCCACGCCGGGTCTTCCTCAGGCCTGACCTGAGCACTCAAAATGCGGCCGTTTCGTCGGAAAAGCATTTGCTCATCTCTCGTCTCAGCTTAGGCTCACGTAGCTCTTTCTTGAAGCTGGGCCCGACGTGGGTGTGTGACCCTGCCCGTGGCCGTAGTGACAGTAGTCCCCAGGGACCAGGACGGACCAGGTCCTCTTCTATGCTCCCCCCGCCTCCCGGTGAGGTGGGAACCACCCCCTGCACAGAGGACCGGGCGGAGGCTCTGGGTTCCCCGGGCCCACACAGCGGCACGCGAGGGCTGGGGTCTGGACTCGCCGTGTGTGCTGCAAGGCCCCCGGCACCCTGGGTGACCCCGGCACCCCCACCCGCACACAGCGCAGAGGGTGCTCAGGGCGAAGGAATGAACGATGAGTCGGGAAGTGAATGAACGAATGGTGGCCGTGTTCTAACCCACTAGTGACCAGAGGTCAGGCCCTTTGACCCGCTACCCCGTCTGGCCGGTGAGACCCAACCCAGGGGGTCAGTGAGGTCGCCTGCAGGTCAGAGCGAGACCCGGCCCCCGGAGCCAGGGCAGCCTCCCCGCACAGCCCGGGTGCAGTCCTGTGTCCAGTCTGGGTGCCGGGCTCCGGGGGCGGCGTGGGGTGGGGGGCGCCGGGAGGCCGCACCAGGCCTGGTGGGGGCTTGTGGAGCAGCCAGGGTGTCCCCCCACCACCCTGCAGCCGGTTGAGCCTGCCCCTCGGCCCTCCCCGGCGGAGGGAACAGCCCTGTGCCCACCGAGCAGGAAGAGGCACCGGGGGTGGGGGTGGCAAGGGGACGCCCCAGCAGCAAGCTCAGCCACCCTGACCCCTCTGCCCGTCTCTTCCGGCCAGAGAGGTGGATGGCGCTCCCCGACTTCCCCGACTACCACAAGTGGGGCTTCTCCCTGGCGGCGCTCAACAACACCGTCTACGTCACAGGTGCGCAGGCGGCGGCTCGGTCGGGCAGCTGACCAGCGTGACACCCCGAGACTCCGCTCTCCCCTTCCGCTCCATCAGGAAACTTCCACACTTTTCTGTGATGTGCAAACGAGGAAAGTTAAAATCCACGGGTGCACACGTGGGCACAGGGGACCGTCCCCCGTTCTGTGTGGCATGTAAAGCCAGGGCGGACTCGCCCCTGCACCCAGGGCCCCCCAGGGGGAGCTCCCTCTGCTCTAGTGTATCTTGGAGCTCGGGGGCCGGTAGAAAGGCTGGTTGGGGAAAGAGCGGCCGCTGATGAAGATCTGGAACCACCGATCCCGTCCTCCTTGCTTACAGGGCAGGGAGGGACCGTCCAGGTCACACAGCTGCCCTGTGCCACCTACAGCCCCCCACCCCACCCCGGCCCAGAGTCTGGCACCGTGGGGACCCAGCAGTGGGGGGAGGCAGCAGGACGAGCCTGGAGAGCCCCGGGCTGGGGGGCACTGAGGGCACAGACTCTCTCTCCAGGGGGCTCCCGGGGCAGCAAGACGGACAGCTGGTCAACCACCCAGGCCTGGTGCTTCCCCCTGAAGGAGGCCGCCTGGAAGCCGGTGGCACCCATGCTGAAGGCCCGCACCAACCACGCCAGCGCCGCGCTCAACGGGGAGATCTATGCCATCGGAGGTAAGGCCTCCCCCCCTGCGCCGGCGGCCTCCTGCTCCCGGAGCCCCTGGGAGCCTCCCCAGCCCATGGCCTCGCCGGGGACCAGGTAGCCCCGCTGGCCTCGGGGGCCGCAGAGGCACGGCTCCCCATGCTGCCCTCGGGAGCTCGCCGTCGGCGGTAAGCACAGCCGGGCTGTGCCCCCTGCGACCTGGGCGTCCCGGGGGGAGGCTCGGGCATGAGCCCCCAGAGCCAGCTCCAGCGTGGATCCTGGAAACAGAGCGATGGCGGGGCGCACTGCAGCCTTGAGCTGCCGGCAGAGACGAGCACTCCCATCCCCAGAACCTTCTGCTCAGGGTCACCCCCTCTGTGAAGCCCCTGGGGGCAAGAGACCCACAACGGCCCCCCCTGCTGTCCCCCCCGCTCCCGTCGCACCCCCGGCCTGAGCACAGAGGCCCACCTTGTCCCCTCTTGCCTCCCAGAGCCGTGGCAAGGAGTCACCCCGGGGACCCTTCCAGTTAGATAAATACTGAAAAACAAGAGGACCGGCTGAGCAAGCGCTTGCCGAGGCCTCTGGGTGACAGACCGGCCTTGAGGCCACTGCCAAGAGCCCCACCTGTCCCGGCCAGCCCTGTCCCCCGCGATGGCTGCCGAGCCCACCCCGAGGGCGGGAGAGGACATGGACACCCGGGGGCGTGAGCCCAACCTCCAGCATCCCCCCAGCCCCTCGCAGCCCTGACCCCCCAACCCCGCAGGCACCACTCTGGACGTGGTGGAGGTGGAGACCTACGACCCCTTCACAGACACCTGGACGCCCGCCAGCCCCGCCCTCAAGTATGTCAGCAACTTCTCTGCGGCCAGCTGCCGGGCCAGGCTGTACCTGGTGGGCTCCAGCGCCTGCAAGTACAACGCGCTGGCTCTGCAATGCTACAACCCTGTCACAGGTGGGGGACATGGGCCCCGGGGCGCGGACAGGCAGGGCCACCAGCCCTTGCTACCGTGGCTTGGGGTCGAGCGGCAGGGGACACAGGCAGGGAGCCGCGGGCCCCCACCCAACCCCTCCTTGCAGGCCACAGTCCCACTCGGCGGGCAGGCGGGTGGGGGCCCCGAGGATGGGTGGGCCTGGGGGTGCAGGGAGCCGCCAGTCACAGGCCTCTTACAGATGGCCGCAGCCCCATCAGAGCGGATGGGGCAGGGGAGGGAGGCGGGAGCCCAGGGGCAGGGACCCAGGGGGTGGGTCACAGGCACAGAGCCATGGCCCCCCCCCCCAGCCTTGGGGTGCGGGGGCCGGGAGGCAGAGTTCCCAGGGCAGGTGACAGGGAGCCCATCTCAGGTCCTGAACGCCACCTGGCTGCTGTGTCTGCCTGGAACTGGCCCCACGGGCCCAGAGCAGTGGCCGACCTGGAAGTCTTGGTGGGCGCCCGCCTGGGCTCTGGGCCCCGGGGCCTGGGTAGGGCTCAGCTGGGCTCTGTGGCTCAGTGGCCTCCTGGCCCTGCCCCTCACCCCCTCATCCCCGGGATGGGGGACATGACCGTAGAACCCATTTTGCAGGGTGGGTGTAAGGGTCCCCAGGGCCGGTGGGGCCCGTAGCCACCTGAGCTGTCCAAGCCCCCTGGTGAAGGTGGGCCCCGTGCCGTGTCCCCGCAGATGCATGGAGCGTGATCGCCTCGCCCTTCCTCCCCAAGTACCTGTCGTCCCCGCGCTGCGCCGCGCTGCAGGGAGCACTCTACCTGGTTGGCGATAACACCAAGAAGGTCTACGTGTATGACCCCGGGGCCAACCTGTGGCAGAAGGTGGGTGTCAGGCTTGCCTCCCAGGGCGACACCACCTCCCGCCCAGGACTCCTGACACTGCAGAGCAGAGAGGCCCTGGGGACGCTGGGGGCTGGGGGTGTCACCACGGGAGCCGACAGTGAAGGGCTTGCTGAGGCCCAGGGCCCGGGCTGAGCCCCCGTGAGGACAGGAGAGCCAAGGACCAAGGGCTCCTGGTGCCCAGGGGTGCTCTGTCCCCAGCACCCCAGGGGTGGGCTGTTCTCTGGGAGCAAACCCAGGCTGAGCCAGGGGTGCTTTGGGGACAGCTGTGGCTGAGAAGGCCCTTCTGTCCTGGTTGGCCGGGCCCCATGGGGGTGGCCATGCAGGGAGAGAACGGATGGTGCCCAGAGCCTATGGCGGTGGCCTCAGCACTAGCCCGACACCCCGGACCCGCCCTACCTGCCTTACGATTTCCAATTCCTAGAGGCCCGAGGAGGTGGCCCTGGCCGGCTGGCCTGGAGCAGGGCCCCTGCCACCATGCTGCCTGCAGCTGTCCCCGGGCGTCAGCACTCAGCTGCCCGGAGGCCCCCATCACAGGGACAAAACAGGTGCAGGGTGGCCCCTGCCAGGCGGGCACTTTCTTTCTTTCTGGGCCCTCCCAGCTGGGCCATGGCCAGGCCTCTGCAGGGCCCACGCCACTGCTTCGGGGAGCATCACAGCCACGACGGGCTCCGCTTTGCCCTCCGCAGGCCTGGCGGGGGGTGGGCTGCCCGTTAGCGTCCTCACGTGGAGGCCACCGCCGGGCCTCCTCCTTCCCGTGCACACTGGGCTCTTCCAGGAGGGCCCACACCTGTCTGGCCTCTGGCTCTCACCTCACAGGCCCCGCCCAGGGCACCTCTGAGGCCAGGGCTGAGGTAAGAGGTACGGGGGCCAAGTGAGGGTCCCAGGGCCCCAGCGGCTCCTCGTGTGTGTGTGTGTTGGGGGGGTTGGGGTCAGAGCTGCGGCCACACCTGTCCCGTCCCAGAGAGGCCCAGCCCTGAACCCGCCCGGGGATGCAGGTCCAGGCTCAGGCTTCCATGTCCCCCTCGCCCTGCCTGACACACCGGCTTCCCCCACCAGTGAACTGGGGCCTAAGAGACCACGGGGCCTGGAACAGCGTCCTGGGGTTGTGGGCCAGAGAGGAGCGCAGCGGGCTCTCCCCACTAGCGGGGCAGGCACAGGGAGCCTGGCTGAGCTCCCAGGTGGCAGGAGTCCCGGCGTCCCCGCGTCCCCGCAGGGCGTCCCTGTGCCCCCCCCGAGCCCCCCCCGCGCCCCGCCGCCACCCCACGGGGCCCTGACCACGGCCCACCCGCAGGTGCAGTCGCTGCACAGCCTGCACGAGAACGGCGCGCTGGTGCCGCTGGGCGACGCGTTGTACGTGACGGGCGGCCGCTGGCAGGGCATGGACGGCGACTACCACGTGGAGATGGAAGCCTACGACCCCGGGCGCGACGCCTGGACCCGCCACGGCTCCCTGCCGCGCCTCTGGCTTTACCATGGGGCCTGCACCGTCTTCCTGGACGTGTCCAGGTGGACACAGCCCTTCGGCCCGGCCCAGGAGCACTGAGCAGGGGCCCGGCTGTGCCCCGACCTGTGTCTGGTTGGGCTGGGCCCGGCCCCCGGGGACGCCAGGGAAGCCGCCCGGGTGCCCGCAGCCACCGCGCTCACCGTGCAGCGAGGCGAGGCTCCGGCCCAGGCCCTCTGACGTCGGGCGGGAGCCCAGGGGCCAGGCCAAGCACTGCAGGACCCTGCACTCTCCAACAGTGGCCGTCCCCCTGCGTGTGTCCCCTCGGGGCTCCTGAAGGACTTGCAGCACACAGCCAAGGTCCCGGGGTGCGTCGGCCCGGGCCCCTGGGCCTGCCTGGCCCACAGCTGTGTGACCACGGCTGGCAGTGGCCCGTCTCTGGGCCTCAGGCTGCACGTCCCCCCGGCCCCGGGAAGGGAGGAGGCGGGTCGGGGCCAGGAGAGGGGGCGCTGCCTGTGTGGGGGTTGAGGGGACCGAGGGTGAGCAGAGGGGGTGCTCTCCGGCCAGGAGTTCCCCTGCTTCTCCAAGGCGACAGTGGAAGTGCCCAGCGCAGGCCCTCGAGGGGAGCGGAGGGGGTCCTGCTGCGGCTTCTGGGGAGGCCTCTTGTTGGTGCTTCGCTCCCCGTGGCCGCCTAAGCGAGGGGCGCGCCCAGGGGGCTCCTCCTGCCAGCACGCGGTGGGACTCTGGGTGCCTCGCGTCTGCCCCAGAGCCCCCGAGTCTGACTGGGGTCCCACATGGACCCGGGTCAGCGCCCCTGCTCCTTCTCAGGGTCCGTGACGAGGTATCCCACCGAGGGGCTCTCACCGGCTGCTGCGAGCTGCGTCAGGGACACGGGCTCCAGTCGGGGGTCCTAGGTGCAGCCCGCCTCCGGCCCTGGCCCTGCTTGTGCTCGGGACCTCCCCGTCCCTCTGGACTGAGTTTCCTCTCTTGAAGGCTCTTCTTCGAAGCCTCCTGGGGACCAGAGGGGCCTCTGACATCCCGCATTCTGAGGAGGGAGTCCCTGGGTCCCTCCACAGCCACCTTGTCACAGACCTGCCTCCTCTTGCCCCTTTCTTGTGGAAGAATTGAATTTGCCTCCCCCTCCCACCCCCCAGGGCCTAGAGCAGGGCCTCCCGGGGGGCTGCTTCCAAAGGAGCAAGAGCCCCAGATCTGAGGCCGCCTGGTCAGCGGGTGGAGTGGATGAAAATGAAGGTGATGGTTTCCGGGATCCTCGAATCCTTCCGTCCGGACATCTTCTGTAACGTTTTCTAAACAGTTATTGAAGGGACTCAGCCAAATACCGTTTCAAAAGACTCGACGTGTCAATGGACTCCTTTTTTTTTATCGTGAATGGGTAGTTGAAGGGCGGTGTTCTAGACTATGGCCTGCCTCTGCTCCTGCACACCTCCTGGCAATGGGGGGCGGGGGGGCAGTGCCTGGCTGGGGTGGGGTGGGTGGGCACATCCCACTCCAGGGCCTGCTCCTCACCTTTGGGTGCCAAACTGCCCCTCGTCTGATCGGCTGAGCCGCCCCTATTCAGGGGCACCCGGGTCAGCCCCATCGTGCCCTATGGGGTCCCAGAAGGAAGCAGATGACCCGTGAAATTGAGTAACGGAGGACAGTCTACCAAAGGGGCTCTTCCAAGGTGTGGGCGGGTGGCAAGAATTCAGCAGGGCTCAGGAGGCTCCCAGTGGGGAACCTAACGACAGTGGGGAGCTGTCACCAGCCCCCTGCCCTTCTGTGTGGGAAGGAGTGGCCACAGCCTCCGGAGAGCTGGAGGGAGACGGTGCAAGGATCTGGGGCCTTTGCTAAAGGAACACAGCCTGTGCCCCCGTCACCTGCGGCCCAGTGGGGACGATGTAGCAGAGCAGATGCCCCAACCTCACTCTTTCCTGCCCCCCAGCCTCCTGCTGGTGGCTCCCTCTGGCCAGACCCAACCAGAATCAGAGGGAGAGAGCAGGCCGTTGGCAGGGAGCAGGTGAAGGGTGGCCAGGGCACCAGGACGGGCAAATGGAAGATTTCTACCACACTAACTGGACGCTCAGGGGATTCTCACAGAAGACAGACACCCGTGGACATTCGCACAGGGAATGTCTGTGGAGCGAGCCAAGCCACCCTCTTCCCTTATCAAAGCCCCCTGGTTTGGGAGCTAGTGTGGGAGTCTAGAAAGGAAAACGTATAACCTTGGAACGTGTGCAAAAGTCCACCGAACTCTCAGGCCCACAGGGGTGAGACCACCCGCCCAGCCCCAAGGAGCTCATGTCTGCCAGGCGGGCGGGTGCTGTCTTTCTCACAGACAGTGGTCGGGTAAACTGAGACCCCCAGCAGACCTCAGAGCTCGGTGGGCAAAGAGTGGCATGCAGGGCCCTCAGGAGCCAGGCCCAAGGCAGTCAGCTCGGGCTCCGCTCCCTCTGCTTCCCAGATGAGCCAGGCACAAGGATGCTTTGAGCCATTCCCGTTGGACTTGGGGTTTCCAGTACCTCCCAGACGAGACCCTTCTCTTTTTTTTTTAAATTTTATTTATTTATTCATGAGAGACACAGGCAGAAGCAGGCTCCCCGCAGGGACTCGATCCCCAGACTGGGACCACACCCTGAGCCAAAGGCACACGCCCAACCACTGAGGCACCCAGGGGTCCCACGAGACCCTTTTCTTATTGAGCATCTTCCCTGTACTAGGCAGGGACGGTGACCGCTGGAAGCAAGCAGTTGACAGTCCCGGGTAAATATCTGTCATTAACGAGCTGGTCAGACGACCGTTCACCGTAGTCAGTTCATTCCCCGGCTCTAGCTGCTTGGTCGACCAGTTGGCTGAGCGGGAAGTAGGCGTTTTGACCAAGACTCTATCTGTGACTGAGGAAGGGGAGGTCACAGCCACATTCAAGGTAAGGACGGCCACTCCTCCGGGGCCTTGTCATTCATCTTTGGTCCCCGGTGCCACTCGGCCTGAGGTGTGGCTACCGTGGCTGCCTGCACGGCTGATTGCTCCTGGGACCCCAGGAAGGCGGCCAAGCGCGACGCGGATTAATTGAAGAAGGAAGTGGGAGCTTCCCTGAGAATCTTCACGGAGGACGTCATTTCCTGTTTGGAATAAGCCCCCCAGGAGCCAGGAGGACTTCCCCAAAGCTGAGTCAGCCCCAGGGCTTTTCAGGGCAGGCTCTTCCCCTGTCAGATCTGAAGTTGTCCACGGACCTGTCCGGGATGCGCGGGGCTCACCCCCTGACCCGCGGCTGGAACGAGTAAACGTTCACCCCGTGAGCCTGCTGACTCCAAGTTGCAAAGGCCAGACGCGTAACCTGGGCCAGTCCCAAGATCTCAGGCTCAGTTTCCTCATCTGTGCAATGGGGACAATCACACGATTTGAGAATTAGATGATGTCATGTGTTCGGAAGGTTCCAGGAAGCAGCGAAGGTCGCCTGCCTGGACATTGAGAGGCCACACAACAAGTTGACTTCAGGCTCCCACTGTTTTCCGGGGCAAAGGGAGCTTTTATTCCCATGACTTCATCGGCAAAGGTCCTTCCTTTGGAGGAAAAGAGAAGAGTGGGAACAGCTTGAGTGCCGCAGCCGGATGGGAAGCCAGGGCTGAGGCCGTGACAGGCAGGTCCAAGAATGAGGATTAGGTTTCAGCCAGGCATGAGGGTGCATGGGGGAGGCCGCCTCGGGCTCCCTCGGGTCCCCTTCCGTGGCCACTCATCCAGTACTTCTACCCTGGGTTCTATGACCTCAGCCCCAGACGCTGCCCCCGCTCTGACCCCAGGGACCGCTGCTGCAGGGGACAAGCCGTGGTGCCACCAGAACCCGCTTTCTGCTGGTCCCTGACCTGTGTGATTCTTTGCTGAGCCCCGCCCTCCTCCGGGTGGACTTCATTTTTGAAATGTGACCCCAGAAACATGCAGGGAGCCCCACCTGAAGGCCCCGGCCCTCCGTGCTCTCCGGCCCCAGAGCCAGGCTGCGTCATCACCTCGGGACAGCTTTATGGGAGCCTGTACCGGCACCAGAACCGATTTGATTTGGGTCCTCCGGCAGGGCCCATGACATCACTGGGATTGTTCACTGTTTGGGAAAATAACTGGTTTTCACATGGCAACAGCTCCTGTCCTCCAAGCTGGCGTCGTGCGGGCTGGGGCCCCCACCGTGAGGGGGAAATGAAGTCACGGGAGCATCCTAAGGATCCCATGCCCCAAACTGGATCCCTCCATTCCCAGAAGGCACCAGTATTGCCAAAGGTGACAGCCTGAGCATCACCTTTCCACAGGGTAGGTTGAGCCAAATGGCATCTGGCCCTGAGGGTGGCACGCACCGCGTCCCCGCTGACAGATTCCAGGCCGGCCCCCAGAGGGGGGACCCACAGCAGCTGGGCCTCTGCGCTGAGGGTGAGCATCCCCGGGCACCTGCCTCCTGGTCTTGCTTGGCCGGCTCACACCCCAGCAGCGGGAACCCAGGGAAAGGCTCAGGGGCAACAGCCACGATGCCCACTCTACAGAACGGCAAACTGAGTCTCAGAGGGATGAATGCCGAAAGGCCCCAGGTAGGCCTCCTCCAAAACCAAGTACGACCGTTGCTCTAGATGGCCAAGCAGGAACCAGGTGTGCCGAGCAGACCCACTGCTGGGGCGGTCTGCCCTGTGCCCCCATCATGCTCTGCCACATGACCAGGGCTGGAGCCTCTGTCTTCACGTGGCCCTGAGGGCAGTCCCTCCCTGCTCCCCCGTGACATGGTGTGATGGCCTGAGGCCAGGGACCTTCCCCACTTAGGCAGCCTAGAAGGCAAGCAGGCCTCCACCATGGCCCCACGCAGTGCCCACTGTGACCTCGGCTCACCGTAGAGCAGCCCCTGGGGGCACGTGTGCGTGGATCCCAGCTCTCAGGCAAGGAAACTAGAAAAAAGCCTCTTAGGAGTTCTGGGACAGACTGGCCACCATCAGCTGCGAGGCAGAGCCAGGCCTTGAAAGTGGCCCCCAAGAGAAGCCTCTTTCCTCCCACCATGTAGGGCTGCCCCCATGGCTGGGGCGCTTTGTGGGTGAGCCCGCTGGGTTCAGGAGCGGCCAGCCACCTGTGTTCCCCTGGCCTGTCCCCACAGCCACAGCCCACGGGCACCCCGCACCACAGGGACCTGCTGGCCTTAGGGAAAAGTCTGGGCCGCAGTTTCACCCGTAACCTTCCAGCTCACCATGGAGCTCATCCTCCCCACCCGCTAGACTAGGAAGGACCAGAATGGGCAAGACTTCTGGCTGTGGAGATGTGGCCATGCCCAGGGGGCAAGGGGGCCTGGGCCTGGCCCCGGGCCCGGGCTGTGTGTCCCTGCGCAAGCCCCCGCCTCGCCGGGCTAGTCGGCGTGGCCCGGGAACAGCGGGAGAGGTGCTGGGTGTGGACGTGCTTTTTCAGAAACGCGCAGTGACCGTTCGCAAGCTGCATCTCCTGGGGCCAGGAGCCTCTCTCCACCAGCAGATCGGCAGCGACAACACACCCCACACTTGGCGTCCCACAGCCCCAGATAAAGTCTTACCGAATAAATGAAACTGAACAAAACGTTAATAGTGAAAGCGCGGAGGCCCGTGTCCCGGCCCAGACGTGTCATTGCAAAGTGCTCCACACCCAGCTTCTTAACAGACGTTCCCTGTGGGACCAGAAATGAGAACCCACCCGAGAAATCCCTGGTCCTTCGAAGGCTTTACAACCGCGGATTTGCTCCTTACCAGGAATGTCTGCAGATGAAAGAAGTTCGCGTGTTTTGCTGAGTGCCTGTGACAGAAGCCAGTGTTCACCAAACGTCTTCTTGGGGATCTGCAGTTTCTAGGGGAATCCCAAATCGTTTCCTTCTACTGATAATTTTTTTAGTATTTCATTTATTTGTTCATGAGAGACACAGAGAGGGGCAGAGACACAGGCAGAGGGAGAAGCAGGGAGCCCAACGCGGGACTCGATCCCGGGACCCCGGGGTCACGCCCTGAGCCAAAGGCAGAGGCTCAACCGCTGAGCCACCCAGGGGTCCCCCTTCTACTGATAATTTAAAAAAAAATTTTTTTTCAAGATACGGACAGAACTTCTCTGCTGCAGCCTTGCCTCCGAAAGACCTCGCCACAGATAAGTCTGTAGGACACACACTGCCCCTTGGGGCAAGACTCTCAGGGTAGGTGGGGTGTTTTGCTTATTTAAACACTCCCCCACCAAAAAAAAAAAAAGGAAAGAAGAAAACCCCAATTTTATCACCATACTCACCTCCTACTGGAAAAGAGGCAGAGTCACAGAATAATGAACACCGAATACCAGGCTTTATGTAAAGCATGACATATTTCCTGCGTCCCCGCACCTGCGCCCCGTCTGGCACAGAGGGCAGCCACCGAGTGGGGGTGCGTGAGTGGGGGCTCCGGAGGTCTACCCGCCGTCCCCCAGCCTAGGGAGGGTACCACCTGCTTTCAGTCCTCCGTGCCACACTCCCAAATAGGACAGGGGGAGGCCTCCTGCCTTGCCAAAAGGGGGAAATCATCTCTGGGTGTGGGAGGCAGACCCCTGGCAGGTGCACTCCTTAGCTGCCCCCCTGAACAAACTATGTGGTGTTCCCCTCTCTTGGTGGGGGAGGCCCCTGTGCTGCCCTCGTGCCTTCCCCCGGGAGACAGGAAGGCAGTGGGCACGCGCTAGGCAAGCAGCCCAGAGGGGCGAGGGGGCTGGCTCCTGTCAGGGTCAGGGCAGGGCCCGCGGTTCAGGCCTGCAGGACCTGGTCCCCCTAGGCCAGCGGGGTCCAGCCCCCACCTGGCCAGGTCACCAGGGCGCTCAGTCCTCCAAGCCTGGGCCCCGCCGGGAGGGCTGTGTCTGCGCGGGGACGGGGAAGGACAGCCGGCTCTGAGCGTGGGGCCCCCCAATCCTCCCTGCGGAGTGGGCAGCCGGGGACAGAGGGGGCCCCGCGGGGGAGAGGCGCCAGGGTGGGGGGTCTTGGAGTGTGTTCCTGCTCCCAGCTACTAGACCTGTGTTGTCGGGGCAGCCCGGGGGGGCCCAGGGCATGACCCCGGGGTCCCAGGATCGAATCCTGCTTCGGGCTCCCTGCGTGGAGCCTGCGTCTCTCTCTGCCTGTGTCTCTGCCTCTCTGTGTCTCTCATGAATAAATAAGTAAAATCTTTTTAAAAACCACATAAACCGGGATCCCTGGGTGGCGCAGCGGTTTGGCGCCTGCCTTTGGCCCAGGGCGCGATCCTGGAGACCCGGGATCGAATCCCACGTCGGGCTCCCGGTGCATGGAGCCTGCTTCTCCCTCTGCCTGTGTCTCTGCCTCTCTCTCTCTCTCTCTCTCTCTCTCTCTCTCTCTGACTATCGTAAACAAAAATAAAAATTAAAAAACCACATAAACCTGTGTTGCCGACACCTGGACCTCACAGGTGCCACCAGGATAAGCCTCATGGTCCCCCCAGGCGGCAGAGCAGACCCCACGGGGGAGAAGGGATGCCCCCGGGCTCAGAGGACGGAGCCACCGGCACCCCCTAGAGGAAGGGGTGTCAAGAGGGCAGAGGGGGGTCCAGGCTCTCCGGGGAAGAGCTGGTCGTGGTGCGCAGGCCGCCTCCGCAGGACGGGGGCTCCGGCCAACGCCACGGGCCCCCAGCCCTTGCCTCCCGCGCCCCAGGTGGCCCCGTGGTCCCTCCTCGAACCCCTACCGCTGCCCCGCGCCTGCCCTGCACCCGCTGCGCAGCCCCGCCTCGCGGCCGCGCCTCCCCCCCCCACCCCCTACCCCCACACCCAGGTGCACACACGCGCGCACGTGCAGAGGCGGACACGTGTGCGCACCCCCCCCGCCCCCCCCGCCCCCCCCCGCGCACCCCCCGCCCAGCCGACCGCGCAGCGCGCACCGGGGCCGCCAGGGGGCGCGGGGCCGAGCGGCGGCGGGCGAGGCGGCGGCTTCGAGCGCGTTATAAGGCGCGGCGGAGCCCAGCGGCTCCCACGCCCGCCCCGCGCCCCGCGCCCCGCGCCCCGCGCCCCGCCGCCCGCATGGCCCGCGCCCGCCGCCCCGCCGGGGCCCGCCTGCTGCTCGCCTGGGCCGCCCTGCTGGCCGCCGCCGCCCCGGGCCTCGGCTCCCCGGAGCCCCGCCGCGCCCGCCGGGAGCCGCGCCCCGGGAACGGGAACCAGCCGCCCGCCGGCCCCGGGCACAGCCTCGCGGGGCCGCCCTCGGGGCCGCCGGTAAGACGCCGCGGCCGCCACCTGGGCCCCGGGGGGGTGACCTCGGCCGACCCTGCGCCTGGGGACGCCGCGGCGCAGCTGCACCTGGCCGGGGCTCCGGGGGGGTCTGCGCCCCGGGAGCAGCCTTCGGGCCCTCTGATGGGCGCACGGGAGGAAAACCCACTTAGCTGCATTCTCAGGAAATGGGGAAGAACGGTTTGTAAAGGGGCGAGCAAATTAGGGACCTATTAGGTGAAGTTCTCCCTGGAAAACAGACGCCGAGAGTGCCTCCCTCTGGGTCTGGGGAGCGCGGGGCCTGTGTTGGGGGGGGCCCAGGGACCTGTGACTTCTGACCTTGGAGGGGAGGGGTGATCTTTAGCTGCGCCCCGTTCTTCCTTTGAGGGCAGGGCAGAGTGGTCAGGTGGGGACGGAGGGGGCTTCAGAGGGGCCCCCGGTGAGGGCAGGCCTTGCAGACCCACAGGGGACAGGGCCCTCGGGGAGACGGTCTGGTTCAGCGTGTCCCCGAGAGCTTGCAGGCAGTGCCAAGTGCAGGCCCCCGCCGGACTTCCGCTGACACCTGGACACCTCCTTTGGTGAGGGTGAGGGGGGCAGGGGCAACCCCCCCCCAGCCTCCCCAAATCGTCCCCCCCACCCCTGGAAGCCAGGGAAGGCAACCCCACCCAGACAATTGGCCACACCTTCTGGAGGAGGGCGGCCAGATGTCAGGACGTGGTCACCAGGAAGCAGGGGGCCCCCCTGTGCTTCTGGGAGGGGTTCTGGCCATGGTCTCTCTCTGGGGGACAACGTGGTGGCAGAGGCTCCCCACCTCCTTTCTGAGAGCCCCTCAAGGCTGGAGACCTCGGCGGGGCGGGGGTGCCGGGGGCAGCTGCCCAACACCCACCCACACTGCCACAGGCCTGCCTCCTGGGGCCCCAGGTTGACAGGGCTCCACCTGTTTCCATGCACCGCCCCCGCCACCCCCACACCAACCTGGGGTCTGAGTCCAGCTGGGATCCACCGGCCCCACTGGCAGGGTCAGCCGGGCACGCCACTCCGGCCTGTGTGGGATGCTCCTGGCGTGTGTTCCCACCGAAGGCAGAGTGGGGCCGGAAGGTGCAATCCAGTCCTGTGTCCTCGGTGAGCGGCGAGCAGGGCCGCACCTGGTGGTGGGGAGGCCCTGGGCACCCTGAGGCCTCTCTCTGTGCAGCCCCAGGCTCCTCCGACAGGGAGGGCCCCGCCTCCCCACCGTGGCACGCTGGTCCCGCAGGGCGGCCGGGAGACCACTGGCTCAGGCGCTGACCGAGGGTCCTGGCCGCCTCCAAAACCCTGGGCTCCTTCCATCGCCACCTGCGCTGCTGCTTGTGGCCTCACCTGAGCCCTCCTTGCCCGGAGCCCAGAACGCCTGAGGCCCACTGCCTCATGGGCCATGGCCTCTCCCTTCAAGGCACGTCCTGGAATCTTCCTCAGAGTCAGGACTGGTCAGAATGCCGCATGCAGGGCAATGGATGTTTCTAGAATCATCACTGCCCTTGTTTAGGAGGGCCTGAGGGAGCCGGGTGGTGTGGCACCCCGTGCAGGGGCCTTGAGCCTCCGGGCCTCTAACCGCCTCGACCTGCAAGCTGCAGCCGCCCCGAGGGCCAAAATGGGCCGCACGGGCCCTCGTGGTCTCACCGCCCCCTCCCCTGCACTCGTGAGTCTGTGGTTCCTGCACCCCACAAAGCGCCAGAAAGTCGTCTTCTCGCACAGCGCCCAGGCTGTTGCGTGGCCTGGTCGTCGTCCTCCGCGTGCCAGGAGGGAGGGAAGCACGGGCCGGGGGGCTGTGCCGGCTTGGAGGGCGCCGCCGTGGACCAGGACAAGGGCCCGAGGCCCGTCCTGCGCCCCGACGGCCTGCAAAGCTCCATCTGCATGGCGGGCACCCAGTGGGGGAGGCGAACCGACCCGAGGGCCGGCTGTGTTCCAGGAGCCTGCCACCGACGGGACGCGCAACTTCGACCCCAGGGACGCCTGGATGCTCTTCATCAGGCAGAGTGACAAAGGCATCAACGGCAAGAAGGGAGGGAGAGGCAAGGCCAGGAAGCTGAAGGTGAGCACAAGAGCCCCAGCAGCGTGTGGGTGTGTGTCTCCAGGGACAAGCGAGGGGCCTCCACCTGCAGGCCCCCCGGCGCCCCCAGCCTGCCACTATCACCCTGAGCACCCTGCACCAGCCCCACCGGCGCACCCTGAGCATAGCCAGCGAGGACAGACCCTCCCCCTTGGCCTGGGGTCAGAGAGCACGGAAAGTGCCAGGCTGGGGGCCCAGACGACCCTGAGTTTGAGGCCTGTTCCTACATTTTCCCCACACCCCTAGAGAGTTAGTCAGCCCCATTAGCTACCCCCTTCTCTTCCCTCTGCATCCTAGCGAGGGGGGCCTGGGCTGGCCTGGGAGGGGAGTCCAGGACCAAGCTGGGGATTACAGCCGGACTAGAGCGACACACGGTCTGGTCCTGGGGAGGTGGGAAGCCTCAGGAGCCCTGGAGGCTGTGGGGTCCCCGCTGTTGTTCAGCTAGCCCGAAACCTGCTGCCAGCTCCTGATGTCTGCCTCTTGCCTTGTCCCCGGGGGTGGGGGGCTCTGGGCCAGGGCCGTGTCGTTCACACTGGGTTTGGGCTTCTCTACCCACCCAGGACTGGCATCGCCCTGTCCCAGGTCTACCCCAGTGCTGGGGTGCTGGGCTCTGGGCCTGAGGTAGGTGGGCTGCCGGGCTGTCACCATGGCCTCGCCTCCCTGTCACCCCTGGGAACCACCTGGCCCCACCCCAAGCTAAGTCAGGGTGCTCTCCCCTGCAGGGGACTCACTTGCTGTTGGCTGACCTGCAGTGTCCCCCTCTCCCTCCACCCAGGAACCCCTCTGTGTCCCCATTTGCGGTTCTTGGGGCCCCACCCCCAGAGGCCCCACAATCCCCGTCTTCACACTCAGGGCCCACGGCTTCCAAAGCGCAGCCTCACTGCCTTCTCAGGGGAGTCGGAGGCCGGGAGGCTGACCTTCACCCCCAGGTCAAAGCAGGATCCCCTCCTGCCTGCTTGAGTGGTGAGAACTTGTGGAGAGGTCCCAGCAGTCCCCCGCCTACCTGCTCAGACGTCCTCTGAGCCTCCTGAGGTTCCTTTTCAGCTTGGCCTGCCGGGGCCCCCAGGCCCCCCCGGGCCCCAGGGCCCCCCTGGCCCCATCATTCCCCGGGAGGTGCTGCTGAAGGAGTTCCAGCTGCTGCTGAAAGGTAGGGGGTGGGCGCACACACCGCCGGCGTGAGTGGGCTGGGACGGTGTCTGGGAGGAGCCGGGGTGGCTAGATAGTCCCACAGCCCGCGCAGGTGAGGCCGAGGGTCAGAGGCGGGGTGGGCAGGAGCGGCGCAAGGAGGAGGCTCTGCAGAGGAAGCTGGACTTGGCCACTCAGTGTTCAGTGGGTGCTCGGGGACCAGCACCCATGCCCCTGGGACTCAGGTGGGCCCGGGCAAGGCCAGGACACCTGGACCCCACCCCCACCAAGTGAGGACCGTCAGGGAGGATCAGAGGTCCTTCACCTCGAAAAGTGCTCCTCTGATCACAAACCATATGGGGATCTGAGGCTCACCCCAGGTGACACGAGTTCCCCTGTGTCCCTGCCTGTTCCCACAGCAGGTGTCAGCCGCTGGCCCAGAGCCCCATGGGAGGCAGGAAGGGTAGAGTCCCAGGCAGCACAGGTGCAGCCCAGGCTGGGCAGCTGAGCTGCAGGCAGCAGAGGGACGGCGAGGGCTGTCGTGGCCCGGAGGTGGCCCTGCAGGCAGCCCGCTGCCGAGTGGTGGTCACTGTACTCACCAGGGCTCACTTCATTATGGGAATTAGAGCCTTTTCCCTCTTCAGTTCAGCGCACCCTTCACTTAAACTTATTCCAGCCCACAGCTGCCTTGCGGGGCGGCCAGGGCTGCCGATGGCGCTGCGGGGACAGTAGTGTGGCAGGAGCAGTGCTGGGGGGAAGCTGGGGAGGCCGGCGGGGTGAGGCGGCCCGGGCTCTGAGCTTCCTGGCAGTCAGAGCGCCAAGGGCAAGAGGAGCGGCTGCGGGCTCCGGAGCTGTTCCCACGGGCCCTGCTGCGCAGGGGGGTGTCCGCGGATCCCCGTGGAGGGGGCTGCCAGCACTAGGCAGGGCGGGTTCCCGGCAGGGGGCAGGTGCGGGGAGGCGGGGAGTGCTGGGGGGCCTGGGGGAGGGCACTGGGGGCGCGAGGGGCTGGGGGGTCGGGGGCCGCAGGAGGGCACGGTGGGGGCGCGGGGCCCTGGGGGGCGCGGGGGGGCGGGCGGGCCACTGCTGCTCTGTGCCAGGAGCCGTGCGGCAGCGGGAGCGCCCGGCCCCCGAGCCCTGCACGCGCGGCCCCGCCGAGGACGCGGCCACGGCCGGGGAGGACGACCAGGCGGAGGCGGAGGCGGCGGAGGCGGCGGGGGCGGCGGGGGCGGCGGGGGCGGCGGGGGCGGGGGCGGCGGGCGTGCTGGCGCTGCTGGCTGCACCCCTGGCCCCGGGCCCGCGGGCGCCGCGCGTCGAGGCCGCCTTCCACGGTCGCCTGCGGCGGGACGCGTCGGTGGAGCGGCGGGCGCTGCACGAGCTGGGCGGCTACTACCTGGTGAGTCGGGGGGCGCGGGGCGGGCGGCCCCCCCGCTGACCTCCCCCCACCTGGGCTGACGCCCCCCCCCCCCGCTGACCTCCCGCCCTGGGCTGACCCCCCCCCCCCTGGCTGATCACCCCGCCCCCCCGCTGACCTCCCCCCACCTGGGCTGACGCCCCCTGGGCTGATCACCAGCCCCCCCATGACGCCCCGGGGCTGACCACCCCCCCTTGAGTTGACCCCCGCCGGGCTGATCCCCCCACCCCCGGGGCTGACCCCCCCCGGGCTGATCACCCCCCCGCCCGGCTGACCCCCACCCCCGACCCCCGTGCGCCCCGCAGCCCGACGCCGAGGGCGCCTTCCGCCGCGGCCCCGGCCTGAACCTGACCAGCGGCCAGTACACGGCGCCCGTCGCCGGCTTCTACGCGCTCGCCGCCACGCTACACGCGGGTGAGGCCCGGGGCGGCGGGGCGGGGGGGGGCGGCACCCCCAGGCGCGGCCCGTGACCGCCCCCCTCCCCCGCAGCGCTCGCCGAGCAGCCCAGGCGGGGGCCGCCGCGCCCCCGGGACCGCCTGCGCCTGCTCATCTGCATCCAGTCCCGGTGCCAGCGCAACGCGTGAGTGGGCGCGGGGGGCGGGGACCCGGCTCCAGACTCGCCCCCACCCTCCATGTCGACCCCTACCGAGCCCCACCCCCGGCTCCAGGAAGGCCTCCCAGTCCGCCAGTGTCCCCAGCAGCGGGAGCTCCCGGCAGGGCACAGGGGCTGCTCCCCCACCACTGTGCAGCCCACCGCCCCCGCCTCTCCTGCCGGTGAACTTTCCTTGCACCTGGGGCCCGAGGGCAGGGGCTGCTCCCCTGAACCCCCAGTACCCCCCCAGAGCCCAGGCACAGGGCAGGTGCCCCAAGGGCTGCTCTCCTGAACCCCCAGCAACCCCCAAGAGCCCAGGCACAGGGCAGGAGCTTGGGGGCTGCTCCCCTGAACCCCCAGCACCCCCTCTAGAGCCCAGGCACCCCAAGGGGTGCTCTCCTGAACCCCCAGCACCCCCCAAGAGCCCAGCCATAGGGCAGGCACCCCAAGGGCTGCTCCACTGAACCCCCCAGCACCCCCTCCAGAGCCCAGGCACAGGGCAGGAGCTTGGGGGCTGTTATCCTGAACCCCCAGCACCCCCCCCCCCCAGAGCCCAGGCACAGGGCAGGCGCCCCACCACAGCAGTAGAAGGGAACAAAGTTCAGAACTTCTTACTCTGCTTTGGAAGCCTTCCACAGATTGGCCTGAGCCCACTTCTTAGCGTCAACTGCTGCCACCCGGCCCCACTCCAGCTGCACCAGCCTGTGTCTGGTTTCCGGCAGATCCAGGACTCTTCAGCCCCTGGCCTGGGCCCAGCCTTGCTTTTCCGGGCACCCCCCGAACCCCTTTGGCCCTGTGGAGGCTGTCCTGACTCCTCTTGGGGAGTTCAGATGCCACCCTCCACCAGAAGACCTGGCCAGGACAGCTGTTACCACTGCACCTAGCTGGGCCGCTGTTGGTTGCTGGGGTGATTTGTGGGTGAGGTTGGTGGGGTCTCGGGGGGTGTGGACTGATGCGCTGTTTTGGCCGCAGCTCCCTGGAGGCTGTCATGGGCCTGGAGAGCAGCAGTGAGCTCTTCACCATCTCGGTAAATGGCGTTCTGTACCTGCAGGTGCGTGGGGCAGGCTTGGCTGTGGGGTGAGCAGGAAGGGAGGATCTCTGGGAGCAGACTCAGACTCCAGGCCTGGGTGAGGTCGCCGGTTTGGGCAGAGCAGGGCCACCTCCAGGTCCCTTCCCCCAAGCCCTGGGCCTGTCTCCTCGCCAGCAGTTGCTCTGCTGCTCAGTCAGTGGTCTTCAGACCTGCCGATCATCCCACAGAGGACAGGGCTCCGTGTTGGGATGGGGGCCGGAGGGAACTGGGGTCGGCTCCGCACCCTCGGGCTGGGGTCCTGACACCCTGGGCCTGCTGAGGCTATGGGAAGTAGGAGGCATCCTCTCTGCACAGAACCCTACCCGACAGTCTCTTTCTGGCATGGGGTGGGGGTGGGGGTGGGGGGCTTCTGGCAAGTGATGGAGAAACTGATGTGAAGGTGGGATTTATTAAAAAAGAAAAACACTCAAGGGCAGCCGTCCTCAATCACAGCTGGCCCTTAAATAACAGTATGCCGGGGCCTGCTCTAAGCTCTTTACGTAAATGATCTGCTTAGTTATCATGCATGGCCTTTGAAGGTCAGTAGTACCGGTTTTCCTCTGTTCACTTCTAAAAAGTTCATCGTTCAAGTACGGTTGGCGTACAGAGCTTCCGAATAAGGGAACGAAGGCGCAGAAAGTTGAGGTAGTTCGCCCGCGGACCTGGAGGCCAGGCTGCCGGGAGGCGTCCAGGGGTCTGGTCCCGGGCACTGCTGGGTGCCACGTGGTCCACCGGAGGCCCCGAGATGCAGAAGGTGGGTGGTCCCCCGATTCTGCATTTCTGGGAGCTCTCGGGGAACGGGACACCGCAGGTGCGTGGACCACGCCGGGAGCAGGCCCGAGGACCGGCCCGCGACGGCTCCGCTCGGCGGCTGGCGCCCAGCTTGCGGGGAAGGGCCGCCCTCAGAGCTTTGGAGAACTGACGGGTCCCACCCCGTGCAGCAGAGCAGCTGTTCGGGCTCTGAACGCGGGCCGCAGCCGCGGGCCCCAGGCCGACCCTGACCCTCTCCACAGACAGGACAGTACACCTCCGTGTTCCTGGACAACGCCAGTGGCTCCCCACTCACGGTGCGCAGTGGCTCCCACTTCAGCGCTGTCCTCCTCGGCGTGTGAGCGGCCAGGCCAGGCCCTTCCTCTCGCGGCCAACAGAAGTGGGGGCCGAACAGTGGGCAGTGCGGAGTGGCGGAGGCCACACGCAGGAGGCGGCCCACTGGAACTGCCCACCGTGGCCACTGCACTTCAGCCGGAGACGGCCAACCACCGCAGCCCAGAGGGGAGACGCGCAAACTGTCCCAGAACAGGAGCAATTGCAGGATGGCGTCTTCCGAAAGGAGAAGAGCCCTGTTGGGCTGTCCCTCGGCACACGTCTCTGGTGGGGCTTGGTGCCAGGAGTACTTGCTCTGTTCCTGGCTGCGGGCCGGCTCCCCTCTGGCCTGCAGGGCGCCTGCCCAGCCAGCCTCTGCCTCTGCCTTGGCCCAGCCCCATGCTCCCCATCGTTTTTAGTGTTGTGGGCGCCAGCACGCCAGCAGGAGGGGAGAGGCTGGTCACCTGCCCGGACGCCCCATGGGGCGGGGGTCCCGGTCCCCACCCACCCTTCCCCCAGGGTGCCTTTGGCCTGGACCTCTTGCAGTGACCACAGGACTGGAGTCTCACGGCCCCTTGGCACAGCAGCCTCAGGCACCAGAGCAACACTAGAAAGGGGCTTATGGGGGGACGGTGAGGATTAACATGCTCAAGATAACTCCTAAGTTCACCTCACAGATGGCCTTTTCAGAGCCCACCCCCTTCCCCAAGCCTGTCCTAGAGTGGTCCCTCTTCCCATCCCCTCTGAGGCTCTGACTCACTGCGGGGATCTACCCACCAAAGGAAAGATCTAGAATATCTTTGCAGATCAGAGACGAGCAGGCCCTGCCCACCCATCTGAACAGATAAAGCAGAGGCTTTCCGGGAGCCAAGAGCTCCCGCTGCCCACCCCAGGCCCTGCAGAGTCCAGCCAGCTCTGCATCTTCCCCACTGGGGGAGACACGAGGCCCTGAGCTCAGGTGGAGAGGGGACAGATGGGAGATGATGCTGAGGAAGCTGGGTCCTGAGTCCACTGTGCTGCTCTTGCAGTGACGGGACCTGGGGGTTAGGGGGCGTCTGTGAGGATACGGGCATCCACCTACAGCAGGTTCCTTCCAAGGTGTAAGGCCCCTCACCCCCTGCAGAGGAAGCTGCCCCCACCCCTTCCCCAAACACAGCAGCCTTGCACACCGTGGCTGCAGGGACCAGGTACCACGGGGTGCCCCGGGGGCCAGGCCGGTCTGACAGGTGTCCAGGCCTGGAGAGAGGGCAATGGCTGCAGTCACCTGGACTGTCCAGCTGGCCTCAGGAGGAACAGGTGACCCAGCCAGGTCTGAGGGACCCCCAGCGCCTGCAGCTTCCCTCCCTGCTGAGAACCCAGCCCTTCCGGCCAGGGGGCCCCGGGCGTCCCACACGTAGAACAGCCACGGGGTGCCCTTGGCAGGCCCGGTGCAATTCTCAGTAGGGCTCGTACCCACCCTACCAGGAAGCGCTGGCCTGTGTCCTGCCTCCCCTTGCACTCTGATAAGGGCTGCGGGGCCACACCCTTCTCTGGATTTTACTCTGCACCCAGCGGGCACAGATACTTCAGAGTTCTCTTTTACCCTTGAAAAAGCCACACATCTTTCCTTTTCTCAACCTAAGCGTGTTACAGCACAATCTGTTCCAGTATTTATCGTAGAATATTGCCGGGTGGAATGTATTTATATATATAACTCAACGAGATGGCTCAAGTACTTTAGAATTCTTGTGCTATGTGACTATACAGAGTTATAAAAGCAAACAGATCTTAAAATAACGGATCTTAATCATTTCGGCCAGGCCCACTGAGGACGGCAAGCAGGTGGAGGGTGGCCTTCAGCCCCAGGGGGGTCCCTGGACCGCCAGGGAAGCCTCTGCACTACGCCGCTCTCAGCTCTGGGAATTAGGGGTGCGTGAGGCACACTGGCATCTGGTTTGCTGGGGGGAGATGCTGACCAAATCAACCGTCCTGTGTCCCGGCTCTGGGATGCTGGGTCCTCTCTTCATGGGGGCCACACCTTACGGCAGCATCAGGGATGGAGCCTGGCCCTCCACACTCTCTGGCGAAGGGTGTGCTCAAAAGGTTCCCGGGGCACTTGTGGCGGGGACACGGGCTCCGTGGAGCTGAAGGGGCGATAAGGCGCGCGCTGGGTGGGGGCCAGGGAGCGTTACCAAACTGCCGCTTCCCAGGCAAGGTTTTAGAAACTTACATCATCCTGAGGCAGACACCGACCCGAGGCCCAAGAGCTGCCTTCCTAACATACGATTACAGTGATCACATGACCTGTTTTATACCAGGTCTTGAGAAATATTATCCTCATCAACAGGCTAGTTATGCATTTTTTGAACATCTTTGCCAGCAGGGTCCTTCTTTCAAGTGTCCTGGCGAAGAGCGACACCAGCCCAGCACAGGGCCAACAGAACGCCCAATCCTAAACGGGGAGCTGGACTTCAGAGGCTGTTCCGAACAGCAGCCTGACTGCTTAGACCGGAGACTGTGTGCTTTGCATACAGGGCATCCGGGTGTGAGTCCCGGGACATCCAGCACTCCAGAGGCCTTGGGTCCCCTTGTTCTGGGAGGCCCTGCCGGAGACACACTACTCTAGAGGACAGTACCTTTGTGCACCCGTCCATTCCCCCAGCTAAGCCTCGCTTTCTGCTGCGTTAACACTGGTGGGCCTTCTTTCACACAGAGAACTGAGAAGAGCCAGAGGGCTCTGACAGCCTGTCTGGGCAGCTTCCTACCTCGGTCTCCTCCCTGCAAAATGCCACTTCCCCTGCCAGGGTCACTTCAAGGGTGAGACAGTACAGGTAAGGTGCTCATGAACTACAAAACGCTGCACACCAGGTGGCCTGTGGATCACTGTTTCAGGCCAATCCAAGATGCCAACGATGGTTTAACACGGAAAGACCCACAGCACATTCAAAAACAAACGCAACCTCTGAAGGCTCAAGAATTGCTCAAATGTGATAAAATAATACACTAGAAAAAAAAAAAAAGAAACCTTTATTTACAACCATGGGAGTCCCACAGGGGTACACGAAACACACAGAATGTGCACACACACGATGAACCTGTGAAGTCAATACCATGCCGCGCTCCCGGCCCTGCTGCGCCCTCGCTGCCCCGCCAGCCCTCACGGGGACCCTATCCGCACCACCATCACGGTGACGTTGTCCGCAGAGCCCCGCTGCACCGCCTTGTTGGCCAGCCTGTTGCAGGCAGCTTCGTAGCGGGCATCCACTGTGGGCTTCCCTTCCCGGCTCTGGATCTTCTCATCCTACCGGGCAGGAAGGGGCACCGGTCAGCGGGAGATCCCTGTCACCCTCTGAGATGCCATCTCCTTGAGGGGCTGCTCCCCGGCTGCCATCAGGGCAGGCAGCACACGTGAGGTTCACACTGGCAAAGTGGCCCGGGGGACACCTTCGTTCAGAACCCGAGCACAGCTCCACAGCTGGCACGCGCTGGTGAGCTCTCTTACCTCCAGGCAGGACAGGATGAAGTTCACGGCTTCTTCTGGGGTGAAGACCTTGAAGAGGCCGTCACAGGCCAGCAGAATGAATCTACAACATGGACAAGAAATATAACTGGGCCGTGGCAGCAAACGTTATAAAATGGTTTGGTGACAGAGATAAATACTTGTCGAGATGCTCAAAGGCTAAGGAACTTTATTCTTTGAGAGAGAGAGCACGAGCTTGCTTGAGTGGGGGCAGGAGGGAGGGAGGGAGGGTCAGACTCCATGCTGAGTGCAGAGCCTGATGCGGAGCTCAATCCTACAACCCTGAGATCACAACCTGAGCTCAAATGAAGCTGGCTGGTGCCCCAGCCAAGATTTTTTTAAAAAACCAATTTAACTCTTATGACAGAGACTGAAAACTACTTAAAAACATTTACAACTATGGAGAAAAAAAAAAACAAAAAACCAAGCGCCTGGGTGCCCAACTCTTGATCTCAGCTCCAGTCTTGAACTCAGGGTCCTGAGTTTAAGCCCCATGTTGGACTCCATGTTGGGTGTGGAGTCTACTTCAAAAAATTTTTTTTTACAGCTGTGGTATTACCCATCAAAACTGAACTCCCTTCTGTTCATCAACATATGATGATGGATTATTAACCCAAGACGTTCTTAGATGAAATCGAGGAAAATCAGGAATAAAAACATGAGGTGTTGTGGCAAATCCACACTGCGTTTCCAACACCACGTGACCGTGTAGACCTGGGGCCCTCACAACCCTCAGGAACACTCTGAGAGAGTCCAAGACCCCAGGGCAGACACTGGCTACCTCCACAGGAGGATTAGGTCCCTTTCCGAGCCTCTCCTCTGGGCTCCCAGGGAAGTCCTGGTGAACCACGGAGGACTGGAGGTGAGCTTCCCCACAGCGCTGAGGCATCATTTTTGCTCCAACACCCAGGTCTTGCTCTTCCTTCTCTGACGGGGTGCTCTGTCCTCACTGATCACACGGTGTGCCTGGAACCCAGTAGGCACAAGGCCGAGGGGGCCTCCTGCCCCCTCCAGTTTGGTGAGGACCCTGAGTGACCCAAGTGACCCATTACACTAACCCACAGCTACAACCCAGAGCAGGGGAATCTGCACAGCACGCACAACAGGGGCCTGGGGCACGGTTCAGAAAACCAGAGGAGGGGCTGGTGGAAGCCTCCCAAGACCCCACGGTGGGCAGGTGAACAGTGTCTGCACAGAGGCAGGAATGGAGACCGGGGAGGGGCGGAGTGGGCAGGGCCGTGCGGAGGCGGCACAGCAGAGAGCAGGACTGGCAGGGGCTCCTCATGAGCCTCCCCACCCCACCCACCCCAACCTTCCACAACTCCTCACTGAGGGCTGCCCTGGCTGTGGCCGGGCATGGCACCATCTCTGCAGGCAGCTTACCGTGGCCACTTCTTTCTCCACTTAAGCCCGGCTCTGCTTCAACGCCACCCCTGGTTCTCCACCAATCATGTGCTAAAAGTCAAACTCCTCAGCATGGAGCTCAGGACCTTCACAACCTGTCCCCAGAGCTGCCTGCCGTCACTCCTCCGTCACTCTCCAGGACTGGCATCCACCTGGCAGTGGGGCATACCGTCCTTCATGGCTTCCCTCTGCCAGAGGCCCAGGGATATGGCCCAAGCCTTCCAGAGCACCTCGTGCTCCCCTGACATATGGTGCTGGAATCACCCACTCACATGTGTGCTCACCCACCTGACTGGGGAGCCCCCTACAGCATAAACCAGTCTGGCCATCCCTGCACCGCCAGGCCCAGAAGTGCCCCTCACGGGGCAGCCCCCACCCCATCCAGAGTCAGAATACAAACCAGAAATCGGGAAGAGACCATGTGTACGCACACCTGTGCCTGTGGTACGGTGATGTTACCTGTCATTGGGGGTCAGCTGGCAGCGTCTGATATCTGGCACGGAAGTGACCCCACAGCGCTTGTACTGCCCATCCCCGATGGAGCGGGACACCTCCAGCACACCCAAGACACGACCGTCCCTAAAATGACGGGAAAAATAAAGACTCCATCGGACAGATCATGGGTTCACAGTCCTTGCAATTTGATCTTAAAAGCACAGCGAAAGATGGAGCCTGTGACATCTGCATTATTAGCCAGCACTGCCCTCTCTCGGCCTCAGAGACGGCTGCGTGTCTTATGCTGAATCTTCACTGCTCTAGATCATGAATATCTGCGCCGTCCTGGACGCCTCAGCCCAGGGCACCCTGACGGAACAGCCCAGCCTCCGGCTGGCACGGGGCAGCACCCAGCCTGACCTGCTCATCTGCCCACAGCCAAGTTGGACTTGACAGGCCTGGGTTGGGACCTGGCTTTGTTTTTACCCGAAAGCTCCTTTTGGTGATTTGAGCATGCAGCCAGGACTACCAACAGCTGGAATAGAAGACAGTTTGTGTTCACACCTAATCAAACTTGGAAAACACCTGAAAGTGACTATTCCCAGATTCCAAAGCAGGTTTTCTTCACCTGGGCTATGGGATAGGATTTACTTTAAACTGTATTAGCTGCAATACTCGTATGTTGAACTTTTACCTCTTCTATGTTTAAATGAGACATCCACAGATGAGAGGCGACCTATAAAGAAGACTGCATGTCACCAGAGTTCTCTGAGCAGGAGAAGGAGCCCTGATGCCGCCAAGAACAATTCAGGTGGGCCTGCATGCTCTGCAACCTCAGGCAGCTGCAAGCTCCCAGGCACTCAGACCGTCACGTCTAAGCCACAGAAGGCACACGAGGGACACGAGAGTGCTCAGCAAACACCAAAGCTGTTCATGGGGGCTCTGTGGAGGTTTCCCAAGGGAACAGGAGCTCTAGAAAGGCTAGATGGATGGATGGGTGTGGCAGGAAATGCCTCACTGGTCGCAGTGACTGCATGGGAGTCAGAATCCAGCCTGGCCGCCAGCACTTCACTGTGGCCCGTCACCCTCCCGGTGGGCACAGCTGAGTCATCAGATGGACCTGCTGGCACCTGTGGACAGCCGAGCAATCTTCTCGAGTACACTCATTGAGGCGAACAGCAAGAGGGGTTCAGAGCACAGAGGAGCAGAGCTGAAGAGTGTGTGTATGTGTGTGTCTCGGCCTCGTGAGGGCCATTCAGGAAGCAGCACAAAGCACAAGCCAACAAAGTGCCTCTTCAGTCTTCAGACACCAAGCGCTGAGGTACTGGGTGTGGACCCCCACCCGAGTCATGAACCTGCCTT